ATTAAATGGAGAGGGTTATAAATATAAAACCAGAAAGAAAGAAAGAGAGAGAGAGGGGGGGGGGGGATTTGCTGTTGTTATTGTAAGTTCAAACTGTTGGTTCACAGTTTGAGAGGAGAGAATATTCTTCATCACAGTGTTTGGAGAAAATATTCAGAAAGTGCTGCACTGTACCAACTGTACATGCCTGCTGTTTGTCTTCAGCTAAATGTCAAAGACACATTAGCAATGTTGCTGTCACTTGAGTGCACACCCTTCCAGTACATGTTATGAACAAGACATTTAATTACACATAAAATACTTTCTGCATAAAAACTATCTAGCTTATGATGCCTTAATCATCTCCTCTATTTATGATACATTTCACTTTCCTACACAGTTATGTTAATATAATGCGCTTTTGATGTGCATCATGTTCTATACAAGTGACAAATGCTAATTTGTCAAATGAGTAGTCATTTTGACTACTCAGACAATTTGTCTAGTTCAGGGTCAAATAACCTTTTCTTCCAGGTCATGATTTGGAACTCCAATGGCCTGTCAGTGCAATTATTTGCCACTTTATGAACAACCTGTGGGGTTCGAGCAGATGTCCAGGATCCCATGTCGGGTCATTCGATTAATTTACAATCACCGTCATTTCCAATCCCCTTCACCTGCCTGGGCCCGCCATTACAGGGCACGGCTGCAATCTAATTTTGTCCTATCGCACAGGAAGAGCATTAGGAGCTGCTTATGTTGACGGTGTGCTCCATTGATTTTTATGAGTTGTGCAGGGATCATGGTTGCGAGTCGCTGGGTGGTGAACATGATCTCTGAGGGGTGTGTGCGATTCACTGAACATGATCTGTGTGCGTGTGGGTCGGCACATGCGACAGAACACACACACTCGCACACAGACACAGAAATGTGGGCATTAAAATACAGTAGCGAGCCTAAGTCATGTGGGACATCAACTGATTTACAATAAATCTCATTTCACAGCGCAGTGTGGTTACAAGTCCCAGTGCTTGATGTTCATCCTTCACTGGTTCAGTTGCAGTTATGTTGTCATCCATCCAAGACCATCACTGTAACCTTGCTAATGGATTATCAGAAAGCAATAATAAAATGTTCTCTCATGGATCTATGAGCTTAAAATCTCTGGCATACATCCTATTTTGTCACTAAGCAAGCTGTCAAATATCGGACATCAAATTTGCCATAGCTTATGGTTCCTCGATTCTACTGTCAAGAGCACATTCAGTTGTTGGAGTGGAAGTATGATTGTGTGCATTTTGTTTGCGTGTGTGTGACTCTGGGTGTCATTACATTGTTTCTGTCAGTATCCATTCTGCTTTGACCTTCGATGTGTCTCACCTGTTCACCTTGGCGCTACCTGGACTTGTCTGGAAAGGGTCTTATCTGCTGAATTTTCACCGCAGGCAAAGTTGGTAATTACTTTTTCTGGCTGCCATCGTTTTATAGCATTCCATCATTATCTGGAGCTCTTTGGCTATATAGAGCCCAGTGATGGTGACAGGCATTGCTAACTGGTTAGTAGCGGAAAGGCTGTCAAAACACAAGCACACGGCATGCTGACTTGATTGAATTCCTCAGGAGCAAAATTACGGCTTGCCTCGCCGGAGTGCCCGGCTCGCTTGCTCGCTCTCAATGTGTACATCTGAATTGAAGGTGGCAAGTCTTAAAGTGCCCAGGAGCCACGTTGGAAGAAGCACAGTTTAAGATTTTAGGGATGAGGTGTACGTTGGTGGTGGCAGCAATGTGGGAAGGAGTAAAAAAAAAAAGAAAAAAAATCTGGAGACGGAAGAAACAAATATTTGAAAGAAAGATTACCGTCACAGCTGCACAGAGCTGAGATGTGGAAAAGACAGAGTAAACAAGCTCGGTCTCTGGGGTGGTTGGGGGTGTTGTGGGGGAGAGAGAGAGAAAGAGAGAGAGAATGCGAGCATGAAACAAAATCAAGAGATGGAGCGAGAACAGGCGGAGGCAGAAGAAGAAGAAGAAGAAGAAGAAGAAAAAGGTGGTGGGGGAGAAGGGCAGCAGGAGCAACAGAATGAGAGCATGCAAAACAACAGGCAATGACTTTAACAGAGAAAAAAAGAAAGAGAATGGGGCTAAAATGGAAATTCAAATAGCTGCGGAAAAAGGAATAAAAGCCTAAATGAGTGGGTGCTGCGTGTGAGAGAGAGGGAGAAGGTGGAAGTGAAGCTATGTGTGCAGAGCATGCGTGTGTTTATGTGTGAAGATGAATAAACACATGGCACTAATTGAATACACAGTAGAGCTGTGAGCCTGATGAAGAACACTCCCATTTTACACAGAGCAGTCTGTCTCACCAGCCTCACCGTATTAAGATTTAAAGAGCAATGACACTCAAATTAAATGCCTTCTTTTTATCAGGCTTTTCAAAAGCATCAAGCATTCATTTTGTCAACATTCTAGATGGAACACATTATTTGGCACCTGTGTAATGTGATTACAGTAGTGCTTTATTGGAGCATCATTAGTAAAGTAATATGATTACACTAATGCATTAGTTAGTAATGTGCTACCCAGGGCTAAATAAAACATGCTTTCTTAATTGGTGGGTCACAACCACCAAGTGTGTGTGTGTAATGCCAGTCATAGTGCATTTATGTGTTAGTATGGAAGGCATTTGAATCTAACAACACCTTCTCTGAATGGAATGAAATGAAAAAAAGTGATGAAAATATGTTTATATTTTATGTTAAGAAAAGGTCCTGATGACATCGTATATGTGTTTACTAGCCTATTTGGAATTTAATGACCATGGGAAAATTTGTGTGCCGAGGTGAGACCAGTTGAGAACCACTACATTAAACCATTTCATGCATTTTTAAGACGGTTTTGTGCAAACCATACAAATTCCAGTCAAACCACTGAATCTATGTCACTGACATAATATAAGGAACGCGTCTCAGAGACCCAATATACAGTAATAGTTGTTTGTGTTCACAAAAGAATGAGATTTATTCTACAGTGGCATTATCCGCTCCTGTGGGACTTGTGTTGCCATTGAAATATGTATAGAAACCTACTTCCTCAAGAGAGAAGATTAATCAGAAAAATCTAAATGTATGTATGTGTGCAAATAAGTACGAGGCACCCTGTGTGTATGTTTTGTCACATTTCCATGATCAGCACCTCCCAGTTGGATGAAAGGACTAATAATAAGACTGTAGCATCTGGCAGCTCTACATTTATGTACACTAATTAGACAACAAGAGCAATGCAATTTGTAAGTCATATAAAATAATATTTGTGGCTGGTGTGACTGTAAACTCAAGATATGACAGCCCTTCTTTTCATTTTCATCCGGGACCATGAAATGCAGGGTTTTCAGTCAGACAGCGGAGGGCTAATGTTGATCTTGTCTCCAGGCAGGGGATGAATCATTACAGTAAAATCCACTGCATGTCCAGGTCTTCAACTGCTTTGATCAAAGGAGATCCATAAACTTTTGCTGGCTTCAGCTAAATCTGAACAAGGGTCTCTTAATCCTGCCCTGACAAGGAAATCTATTCAGCTGCAAACTGAACAAATGTCTTGACTTAATGTCTAAAAAGTTTCTGAAATTGGGATCTAAAATTAAAATTTTACTGGATATTATTATTTGCAAAATTAAAAACATTTTCAGTACTACACAGTTCAAATAGATGGACATATTTAGATTAAAGGACGTTTCAAGTGTCAAAATACTGGCACCAAAAACAGTCAAACATCATACAACAAAAAACCTTTCTGTTAAGCCCTAAACAAACTATTTAGATTATGTACATCATGTACAACTGTGCAATCATAATAACAAAATAATGACAGCAATGGATTGGAACGCAACGCTTGAACATTTACAAGGCTGTCACCATGCAGCAAGGTCATCCTCCTCTTATATAACTTCACTGCTTATGTCACCATGTAAAAAACAGGTCATGACCTTCAACAGCTTCTCTCTTTCTTTTCTCTCAGCTAGTCTTTCACTGGTGATCATTTTCTACATTACCATGGATGGATTTAATGGATGAATGACTATAAAGTTAAAGATAAAGATCATCTGCAGTGGGATTTGGGATCTTACGAAATCAGTAAATCACACTAAAAGGTCCTGATGACATCGTATATGTGTTTACTAGCCTATTTGGAATTTAATGACCATGGGAAAATTTGTGTGCCGAGGTGAGTTTATAAACTGGTTAAGCAGTTTTAAATGACGAAGCTCCTGTCTCCTGGATTAGCTGACTGATGATTTCAGATGTGACCCAAGACGTACATTTTATTTTAGAAGGAAAACACATTTGTTTGCTTTCTTGCCTGGAGATAGATGAAAAGATAAATGACACTCTCTGTACACTAAATATTAAGCTACAGCCAGGAGACTTGGCTTAGCATAAAGACAGGAGCAGAGATTTCTTGGAATTTGCTACAACTCCTGGGAAAGAAAGAGCACAGGACATAATCCTCCTTAAAAAAACAACATGTCCTTTTTACACAAACACGAAATAAAATCTAAATTAGTGAGCTTTAGAGGCTTTTTTTTTACCTTTGGACAGAGCCAGATTTGCTATGTCCCCCATTCTTTCTTGTAGCCCAATATTTAGCATACATAGACTGTGGCGGTATCTTTCTTACTCTCAACTTGTTTTGTATTTGTTGCTTTAAGATTAGGTATATGCATGCATTCTCATTGCTTTCCGGTATCTGTATGTTTGTACGTGTAATAGTTTGATGGGTTGAAGCTACTTGAAGACTTTGTGGAGATTTGCGACTGATCCGATAGACACCCAGCATATCTTCTTTAACCATACACATTGCAAGCAGGCACACAGGATGTAAACAAAAATAAAAATAAAAAATCTCCAAATCCAGTTATTTATTTAAAGTGCATTTAAGGATTTTTCTCCTTTAATAAAACATTCAGGATACATTCTTAGTGTTTGAAATCAACTTTTCAGAGGCCACCCATTACTGCCGCCCTCCACCGCCGGCTCCTATCTCCCTCAGCATCCTCAGCCCTACAGTGAAATGAACTGCCATGGTTAATTCTCAAACTGATCCCTCTCCTTCTGTCTCCACAGAGGGAGGAAGCGAGAATGAGTGAGGCTGAGAGACGAGTGAGGGGGGGTGGGAGACATAGATGGAGAGAGGGAAAGCGAGAGAGACAGAGCCACCCCAGAAGGCTGAGTTAGCTGTGACAGAGAGTGATGCCCACTTCCCCTCCCTCTATCTTCGCCATCCTTTTCTTTCATCATCACTTTTTAAATCCTGTTCTTCTTCCTTGTGCCATTGTAAGACAAAATATCAGCCCCCCCCCACCCCCTCCGCGGATGATGATTCATCGATCCTGTTATCGCATCAGACGACTTGATGGGCATAGTAAAAAGAAATTAAATCTTAATTAAATTTTCATCTTTGACAAATTTGTCTCCGAAGAGCTGCCATATGCTCACTGGGTTCGAGGGAAAACATTGAGGGAAGGAGACTTTTGGAATTGGTGTTGAATGGGCTTGAAAATTACAAAACAGCACAAGGTGCATTTTTCTGTCAGCCTTGTGCATTTTTTTTTTTTTCTATTCAGGAGGGATAGCCTTGCATTCCTATAGATTTTTCACAGCGTTATTACATTATGGATTTTTTTCCCTTCCAAGACAAAGTATAATAATGCGCTTTATACTAAGACTGTTTTTCATCACTTGCAGGGCAAAGGGAGTGTATATGTGTTTGTGTAGTAGTTATGAATGTGTGTGCGTGAATGCTTTGAGGAGGGTGCATGGAGGTCTGGATGAGCACCTGTGTGTGTGTGTGTGTCACCTTTTTTAATAATGTGCTGTCAATCTGGGCTCTGGGAACGGCCATTTCACAAACCCTCCCTAAGTCTCATAACACGGATCCTCTGGGAGGGAGAATAAGTCATCAGCCGTTGGCCGAGAGTCCTCGAGCGCCGTCGTGAAAGGCAGAAATCACAACGGATGCAATAAGGGGACATGGCGGGATAAAACTTGGGCTTTCAAATTAATGCCAGCTCACTCGAACTTATAGCACTGCCGCTCATCACGCTCTGCTGGCTCAGCTGATGTATGGCAGGCAAACTGGCCGGGACAGGGGTAGGATGACGTTGACAATTTTTATGTCTGTTCAGAGTTCTGTCATCTATTAATTCATTCATTCATTTATTAACTGACAACTTATTTGCCCCCTAGTGGCCATTAACAGTCATTGCAAATGTCTACACACAAGGCATTGGACCTGGATCATAGTTTAGCTCTTCACTTCAGTGCCACTAAACTACTGTACGTAGGGACTACTGTGTGACACTGTGTCCTTGTTTTGTTCATACCCCAGGAAGAGCAGCTGTTGCTTTTGTCTGCTGGTGATCCTAATAAATAATAAACAGCAAGAGTTTGGGAATGTGCAGTAGAGAGAACCTTTGAAAAACAAGAGGAAATGGAGAATATAATATATCCTAAATTTTGCATGGCTTGTAAAAAGGCAAGTTTTCTGTATAGCCCAACAATGGGCTTCATGCAAGACAATTTTTAAATGCTTATAGTAAATTTTACTCTCCTCTGGGTTTATTCATGTTCAGGATTGCTAACTCTCTAAATTACTCAAAGTTGTGCTAAATTGCTTGTTTCAACTTGATGAAAGCCACCTGTTCACAAGTAGGTGTGCATTCTAGAGATTAAAACATATCTCATAAGGGTTCCTTCCCCTCTCTGTTCATACGAGTGGGTCTTGTGGGCCTGTTAAACCCAGTGAGACAAAGGTTCCCACCACAGCCGTGGCTCCAGAACAAGACAGTGAAAAATTCCTCACATGCCATGACGTCATCACAAGACATTAGACAAAAAGGAGCTGGCCCACTTTCTTCAGCTCAAGCAGGAGTAAATAATTGGTTCCATCCTACATTGCAGCTGCAGCTGGAGAACATTATTTATTTACTCTAATACATTTAGTATATTAGTAAAGCAAAGTGTATGTCCCTACATTAACAGGCACTTAAAAATAATAATAATGCAAGATTGCACAGTCAGCTGCTAGTTAGAATGAATGGATACATGGACTCATGACAATAAGCCACTATAACTCCACACAGGTGTATTATAGGTTTATTGTAGACCAGTGTCGCTACAGTGTTATTTATAACATCCCCTTTGTACCTGCCATTTTTCATAAAAAGACTTTGTCAAAAGTGGATGTCAAAAATCTGGAAAAAAGTGGGAAAGCTTTCTGCTGGTAGGCATTTCTAAGTCATGTGTTGTTACTGTCAGGAGCAATGGCTGGCATAAGGCCACTTATTTTAACCTAAACTTCTGAAATCACAAGGAATTTGCAGATGACACAGCCTTTTTTTAATATTTAATGAACAAGAAAGCAGCACAAAAAAGTCTAATCTAAAATCTAATAGCATGGATGGTCCATGGTGAAATAATGAACAATTACATATAATCATTTCTGTTCATTACTCCTAAAGACTGTTCTTAGTTACTACAGTTGAGACAAATGTTTCATCAAAGCAGTGTTTATTTCATAAGATATACAAGTCACTTCCCCTGTTGAATACAGGTAAAAAAAATTTGAAAGGTAAAGTGAACTCAAATCCTGACCCGGCACACTCAGTTTGTTCACACACAGACGAGAGAGCGTGCCTGGTCTTTTCCTTTCGGAACCACTGACTTGATGTTGTGGGTGTTTTGTAAAGGATAGGAAGATGGTAACGAAGAGTGAAGTCAGACACAGGGCATCTGCTGCTGTAACTGCTGCTTACTCTTGTTTTGACACAGGGGTCAGGTAGACAAATCAGTTCCTCACAGACAAACCTACTACACCTACTGTATGTGCTGTTTTTCAGTCCACCGATTCAACTCATAAACTATGCTCAGAGACTAAATTCTGCAAATAGTTTTGATGTATTTAGAGGCTGTGCTTTTAAGTGTGTGATTTCACTATGTAGGCTTCTTGCCTGCCAACACTGCTCCGCTTTAGCATAGTTTGTCATGAATTTGCAGATTGTTGGTTGATTTATTTGTTGATTCCAGCTACTCTTGAGGAGATTTTCATGTCAAAATATCCCTATTTCATCAACCCTAGTCACAGCTTTGTGATACGTCAGAGGGTCTGAGATGTTTATTTCTCTTCTGTTAAATTACATTCTGGTCTTTGGTTTGGACACATTTGTTTCCACAGGACATGACAAATCAAATACACAAAAAGTTGTATAGTCCCCACTGTATTTCCTTCTCTGCCTTTTATCTCATTGAAGCATCTTTAATTGCTTCACATTGCTTTGAAACCTCAATATATCACCATTAATGTGGTGACTGTCAGAACTCTCTAAGATGACACACAGGATACTGCTAATTGGGATTCAGCTTTTATCATTTGTCTGTGAGGATGCCTTTGTTATTTTGATTCACATTTTTATTGGAAATCTCCATTATTGTGTCCAGCGGTTGTATTTTTGTCTATACTGTGAGGTGACCCATCCTTTTAATTACTCAACATGTCTGTGGTGTGTGTCTGCGTGTACTCACAGATATTAGCCGTGCCCTTGGGGATGGGCAGGTAGGAGCCAGCACTCCATGCTCTCCCCTGGTAATTCCTCTTACAGCGGCCACAGTCAGGCCCGGTGGTGTTGTGTTCACACTCGCAGCTCAACTTCTCTTTGTCATACACACAGCTGTTGGCGTGAAGGTTGCACTTGCACCTGTCACAGAGGGAGAAGGGTGGTCGGAGGATGGGGGGAGGGAAGAAGGGAGGGAGGGGGTGGAATTGAAAGAGGACAACCACGTCAACATGAGTGAGTTTTTCCAGCACTGAATGATACAACAGACAGCTTCTATTGTGCTGGACAATGTGGCTGAAGGGCAGCGTGTCCTTGACTAGTGGTGGCACTGGAACACAGTCAGAACGGCTAAAACAGTTGCTTCCTTTACTTCAAGAGGAGCTGGTTCAAAAGGAGTCAGGCGATTGCACGAACAAATCTGGCATCATTATTTCCTCCCTTTTCTTTCTCCCTCCCCTCTCCACTCGGGACAGTAGCTCAGTTTTAATTGTCCCACTGGAGGATGCATAATTGCGGTAAGGTCACAGTCGATTGGTGAGGGAAGATCAGGAGGGAGAGAGGGACAAAGAGGTGCAACAGGGAGGTAGAGGAAAACAAGCCAAGTTAAATTGTGGAACAAGCACTGGGAGAATGAAGGCAGCGAGGCTTGGAGCTCTGCAAGGCGATGAATGGCCCAGAGTTAGCCAGAGGGCAGCATGGAGCAACAGCACAGCTACGTTCGCTATGACAAATGAATATGAGATGAGATCTCAGAAGCATATTTTCAGTTTGGAAAGAGGGGGTCCCTTAAGGTGCACTAAATCCTCACTCACATCCTGCTCACCAGAATCTTCATTTAACAATAAACTCAGCAAATTCATTTTCTGCTGCTGCTAGATGAGCATTGAGGGGATATATACCTGTTAAATTAATTTATGATCCTCATGCAGCATAAAGTACTCTGAGGAAAATAGAGAACTTTGAATTGCTAGACTGCTTCTTGAAAAACTTTGCAATAGAGAAAAACATGACTGAGTGACTCCGCAAAGGTCGTGATGATGCTTTGTGACAATGCATTTCAACACAGTCCAATGATTTTTTTATAAACTTTATTTAACATCAGAAATATGAGAATCTTCTTAGCCCATAAACAGAGGAACTGTATCTTCCTTTTTTAATAAAAAAATTAAATTTAAAAAAATCTACATTTCTTGATTTTGTTTGTACAGTAGGTGTCTGCCTTAATTGTGATCAAAATATATCAAACTTAGGTTCCTTTTCACAGTGTTTCCCACATTTTGTCGACACATTGTCTATTTCCTGCCATAGTGGTGTTACTAATAGAGAGTTTAGACAAGAACTGGACTGCAATTACTGCTTTACATCTAATACTGAAATGTGATAGGATGTACTCGCAAAACATCAGCAAGAGGATGCTTGATTGTAAAAGTCAACCTCACAGTTTCCAAAGCATGAGTCACCCTGATCCAGTCCTGGCTGAAACTTTAAATGAAGACTGGAAATCGGACTTCCAACAGGCATGACTCATCGTAGATTAATGGAGCCGTGGCTATGTTTGTATATTTTATGGAGAAAATGCTGAGAGGCAGACAAAATTGCAGTATTCCAGTATGTCTCCTTCCTTTGTGCCTTTTAATTTAGCTATTTTTATTCATATATTGTTGCTAAGACCCAGGTAAAAGGCATCTTTCTATTCATTCCTACGGTAGAGAAAAAGAGGCGGAGGGAAAGGTGTTGAGGGTGAGATTACACAGATAGACACAGATAGGCTCCACAGTTGTGCTCACTAACGTCTTAGTGAGACACTCCGGTGACAGCTGGCCTGTTTCACCCTGCCCATTCTGCTTCACCACAGCTTAGCTTGATCCTTAAATAAATATAATAATTTAGAGGAAAAGCACAGTCTTAAATCACTGACCAGCCCTTGACCCTGATACGGAACGTTTCTGCTATTTGCCCCAAATTCAAGCACTGGCTTGGGTTGTGGTCTATGTTTTAGATCCTGTTCTCGGTAGATAGATTCACAAAAAAAGAGGCTATTATGTCATCCTCCACTCGTCTCCACTATGCCTGTCTAAAGCAGAAATGCCCAAAAGAATAATAATTTCAATTTTGTTGTTATTATTATTATTATTATTACAATAATATTTCTCTGTTTAGTATCAAATAACCTTGTCATAATAACTTTCCTGAATAGACTTCTGGTCCACACAAACCCTAGATAAATCCTATCCAGAGGGCAGGCAAATCCACAATTGATGTCACATGTAGACCTCTTCAGACTCACATCCAGATTAGTGAGTGCCAAAAGGGCTGCAACCTAACCAGAAGTAGCCCAATACTGTTCAAGGATATTTGGGCCTTGTTAACTATCCCAAATGTGTTCCAGTGTTCCAGATTAGTACAGTACAGTGCTGACTGTACTGTATATTTACCGAAAGTGGTTAAAATTTCTAGTTAAGTATTAAGGCCATGTTTGCCATGTATAAGTGGGCCACTTTAGCCTCACACCAAGATTAGCCAGTGCTGACTGTGCCATATATTTGCCAAAAGTGGCCCAGATATGTTATAAGATAACTGGGCCACATTTACTGTATCTTATGTGGGCCACTTACTCAGATTAGCCAGTACTAATTTTACCGCATCTGTACCAAAAGTGGCCCAATACTGTTCAACGATACATTTGGTCCATTTGTACCATGTCAAATGGTGAAATTTTAGGTTCATATCCAGGTTAGCCAGTGCTTACTGTGCCATATCCTTGCCCAAACTGGCCCAAATATGTTTTAAGATAAGTGGGCCATGTTTGCTGCATCACATTAGGGCCACTTTCGTATTACACCCAGATTAGCATTTGTCGACTGTGCCACATCTTTGCCAAAGATGGCCCACATTAGTTTTGTGATATTTGGGCCATATTCACCATTTACCACATCACATTCAGATCACACATTTGGGCCACTTCAGGCTCTCATCCGTGCCGCATCATTGCCAGAAGTGGCCCACATGCTATCTGGGTTGAATCTGATATGGAAACCTGCTCATTTAAAAGACCACCACAAACAACCTACAAAACAATTAAGCTTCTAATGAGCCACCTTCCATAATAGGGCAAATTGGAGATATAGCAAAGCACTTTGTAACACAGAGAGAGCTTTTAAAAATGAGCAATGTTAGATTATTTGACTCCATATTACCGTCCATAACGTTACAAAAGCATACGACAAGTATGTGTAGTACGGCTGGACAGATGAATCATCCTCCTAATAAAAGATTGATGAGTATGTTTCTCCACAAATGAAAAAGACATCAACAATTTTCCGACATTTTCCTCGTGACTGTAGCTGAGCCAATGCCAATGCACATGTTGCTGGCAAAAGAGTACAAGTAGCATGACATCTGCACATCATCACCAAGTCATCGCCCTATGGGCCACCCTACATTAGTCTGGTTCTGCAATGTAGGTTTTTTGTTTTTACCCAGTTTTAGCAACAAAAACTGAGATCATCCTCACTCTCTATTGCGTAAAGCATTTGAATAATATAATAATATAGTACTGACCATAGCACTCACTAGTTCAGATTTAGTGTTGAGCAGTATGGGGTTAGGTAAGGTGTCCCAGTAATGTTTCATATGATGAATAATTGACTATTGGCTTTATCTAACAACTACTAGTCAACTAGGAAAATCTTTAGTCGGGGCAGCCCTACTGTTGATAGTCAGTAAATACCTCCAAAATGTAGACTGGCTGCTTGTTAAACCACAATAACTCATTTTCTATTTATTCATGTTTTAAAAAGCCAACAGAACACGTGCCTCAGAAAAAAAAAAAAACGAGTTAAGCAACAAGTTATGGATCAGGCGTAGCCAATTAACATACATTCTGTGAATAACTAGCCAAAGTTGTAAGGTAAAAGAGAGAGCACTCTTTAGCAACAGCACCAACAGAGGTAAATCAACTTAAGTGGTCAGAATCTCCCTGTTAAACATTTCATGCATATGATATATTTTTCAAGCTTCTCAACATATTAGTTCTGATTTGGGGCATGCAGCATTTGGAGTGTGTAGCTCAAAATTTCTAAGGTGTGCACAGAAGGCTATACCTGTTGTTTAATAATATCAGATACTTTTGTAATCAGCATTTCATATCTTATGCTGTCCATCTCCTTTTCAGGGGTTTAGCTACGGGATGAGATTAGTTATTAGGATGACACTCAACACTGTATGAACTGTATATTTGCCTTCTAAGCCAACAGAAGCTGATGCTATGAGTTTTATTTGTAACTTTGGTTACAGATGTTGAAAGCTTACCCTAAATGTAAAGGATTAGGGAATCCCAATAATATTACACTTAGTAATTGGTTTGACATTCACAGCTGCTTTCTGTTGCCTAATCTATGTAATGAACCTCACATGTGCAACTGTAGTATTTCTAAAGAAATAAGAGCAAAATTATTTTTCCTTTCACAACCACCTGTTTGGAGCCTCTCATGGAGTCCACTTCAAGCTGTTTGACTGACATTCTTTTGTAAAACTGGAAAAATCTTCAGCAGCTATTATAGTAATAATCAGTGGACACTGAGATCAAGTGGGATTGATTGTGAAAAAGTGAGGCGAGTTGAGTCAGCGTCCATTAGTGGCTAAAATCAAGAATGAAGTCCTTCACAGACCTGTTCAGTGTGCTTTCTTTCCTCATCTGTTACATAGAAGTCTGCCTTGTTAGTGTACATATGTGTGTGCGTGTGTGTGTGTAAGATGAGCGGGTAGGGGATGTGGTGTAAAACGACTTCACATAGAGCCCTTTCTGGTTTAACCTTCAGCTTCTTTTAACCTCGCCAACATTTTAATCAGCATCCAGAAATGATAGCGCCGTCGGCATAATGATGGAGACCGCCAGTGAAGCCCTGAGGGTCTCATACCCACCAGTGCTGTTGTGCTGCCAATCAGCAGTGGCTCCTGCATGTGGATACCAGGGGAGGCTGCCTCACTGCTGCACCAGCAACAACAGCTTCAAAGAAGGAGCCAAGTAAACGTGTATTTAACAGCTTTTTAATAGCAAATTTCCTCCAGGGTTCCCCATACGGACAATGCTGTGTCTAAATCCTATTGGGCCTGCTTTACTTTGAAGGCTCTGTGGGTTT